CACACACACACACACACACACACACACACACATACACATAAATCTGCAAGCAGGGAGAATGAGGGACAGCACACCAAAAACACACATGTCCATAATTGCTCAGACCCAGGGACCCTGGGTCTAAGCGACCCAGGGTCCCTGACAACCTCATCATGTACAGTATGCACTCCGTCTAACATGTAAGTTGGAATGGAGAAGTGGAGAAGTTGGGTATTGATTTTACTATAGCAGACTACTGTTTTCTGATATTTTAAAGTTTGTTAACACACATACTGAAATCAAAAGACCTACAATCTTTACTACACAGCAATCATAGCAAAAGGACACCCTGTGTCGTGATTTCATTTAAAATGTAATTTTTTCATCTTTGACCTCTCATGGATTCAGTAAACACTGCTTGTGTACAAGAATATATCAACTTGTCTGTGGAGAAAGAATGAGTGAGGGAGACTGCAGCAAACTGCAGCTTAAATGTGAAAAGCTATAAGCTGTAAGTATTGCATCATAATGGCAACAGCTTCATGACAACTACCACTAAAAGTGTAGATGTCCATATGTCCCAGTAGAAGAGTTTGACAATCCAGATGTATCACCAACCATGAACCTAATAGTTGTGCAACTGTGAAAGAACTGCTGGTGTGCAAGCCCGAACTGAACGAGTGATGTCAGCTGACACATGGATGATTTTAATGTGCTGCCTGTGTGATGTGGTTGAAAACTTCAGAAGACCAGAACAAGACTGTCTGTTTCTGTTGTTACAAGCTCAAAAGGTTATCCTGTGGTTTTAGTATGGGTTTCATTCTATAATTGCATTATATTATATATAATACTAAAGGTAAATTGGTGATTAAGTTTTAGCTTAATGCACTTTTTAAAGTCTATTTAGATTTGTGTTGTCTAATGTTTCATAAATCCCCAATTCTTTAACAGAAATGCTTTCATGCCTCTGTGAATATTTAAAAATCTGTGCACATCTCTTTGTGATATGTGGACAAGATTAGCAAACATATTAGAAATTAATACACAAGTTAATCAACACAGAATTAATGCATAACATTTTTTAACCATTTTCTCAGTTGGTGGAACTAATTCCAAAGGTCAGCGTATCTGTAATATCTCTGCAAGAGGGTTACGTTCCTCATCTTAATGAAAAACAGTTCGCTAATTACACATATTCATCATTTTTTGCGCTTGATTAATCACATTCTTGTGATGAAGAATGTTCACCTCTCAATTTAACACACTGTCAGGGGTAAGCTACTGTGAATACAAACTTTGTGTTATGTTCTCATGAGTCATCTCACTGACTGTTGCTACATCTCACTGTTACTGAAGCAGGGCTCAATGACAGGACTCTGAACTGTGCAGTCAAAAGGGGATTTATATACAACACCAGTGAAATATTTACATATACAGAGTGACAGTGTTCCGGGGATTCCAAGAGAGGGTCAGGGAAACACACGTCAAGCACCTCTTCGTAGAGTCCAGAACAAGATACACACACCGTCCAATCCAACACCGTGACCCACTCTCATTCTGGTCAGGTCCAGGGCAATCTATACAGGTAGATGGACACAGAGGTCAGAAGAAGCACCAGGGACCACAGGGAAGTACAAACGCGAGCCAGGCTACACTAACAGAAGTAAGTACAACAATCCAGTGAGGAACACTACTCCAACACGGCCTTAAATACTGTCAGGATCCATCAGCAATGATGAGCCGCAGGTGTGAGAATCAGAAGAACACAGAAGAACAGACGCCTCCCTGGTGAACATGGTAAGAACAGCATGCCAGGGCAGCCACTGATGAACCATGACAGTACAAACACAGTTGTTGGTAAAGTCTGTTTGACCCACATGTGTGACCCACTCATATGCTACAGAAACTTATATATATATTTATATATATGCTACTGATGCTGAAATATTGATAGATTCACTATGACTTTATTAGAAACCAAAAAGGGAATATAAATCACAACTTGAAGTTACAATAGAAGAAAATTAAGTCAAACACGAATGCTAGTAGGAATCATTCTACTGGAACTGTAAGTATTAAAATTAAATTTAATAGCAACTGATCTGATTCAGGTATTTTGCTATTACCACCCTTAATCTCACTGCTGCAAATGCATTCTCTGAAACCTAATCTCCAGAAGGCAATGGCTGAATGGCAGACCAACCTTGTCAACTTGAGAAAATCCTAACATCCTTGTGGGATTCACGCACATCCCTGTGCCAACTCATTAAAGTCAGCTTTTATATTTCTGGCTTCATTAAACCTGCCAAAAAGTTCAAATCATTAAAAAAATGAACACTTGTCTACGACATTAATAAGCAGGTCCAATTTATCTGAGTCACGAACTGTCCAGAGTCCAAAATTTTAATCATTGTGGAAAGCAATACAAATGTGTTTGTCTTTTCAGAAGACACACATTGATACCTCACCAGTTGTCTTCTTAAGGTAGAAAAAACCACAGGCTTCGACAAGGTAGCAATTCCCAACAATCGATTTTATTGAATGCTTTTGAGAAAATGAAGAGCACCAGTCTACACACAGTAAAGCGTTCAAATCAAGAGCTGCACCTAATCGACTGGGTGGTGTAGATTTTCTTTGTAAATCATTCAAAGTGCTGGATACAGTTGTGACATATTTGCTCACTTTCCAAAATAAAAAAAGAGAAATATTGGTCTAAGAGACTAAAATAAATCCATTTAAAGAGCAAGTAAAATGTGTAGAAAATATTGCACTGCATATTTGTTGTCTAAATGTCTGTTTCTGTTTATTTCTTTAGTGGAATGGGTTCAAGATCCTGTCAGACCACCATAGTCTCTTCAGGCGGCACTAGTCTCTCTGAACGTCAGCTTAATCTTATATAAGCTCTTTATTGCTCAGCAGTGCTCTTTCTCTCCACAAATCTAAGGCACACTGTTCCACCTGATAACAACTGATACTGTAGGTTGACCAGTTTGCAGACAACACGGACACATGTTGGACAGGCACATAGTGCCATCTGATGGATTAAAGAAAAAATGAAGCATTTGTGCTCTGTGGCTACAGTCTATTGTATCATATGCATGAAATTAAAGGTACAATCTGTCAAAAATTATTAACTCTACATTTATAAATAAAGCATTGGTAAGGAGAGGGAAGTCAACCCTGTAATGTCAAGGGTATCATATTTGTTATGAGTTTTTGTGAGTCTTAAAGACTCTTAAAGACTTAAAAGTGTGACTTCTAAGCAAGAAATTGCACAAAAATACTGGATTTAACAAAAATAGTGTAAATTAAAGCTCATATATGCACATTTATATTTATTTATTTATTACATTTTTCAGAAGGTTAAATACACAATCCTGTTTCAGAAAATGTGATTTTTTTTGGCAATTATTTCATGGTACAGTCTTTATATGGTTAAAATAATGTGGTGCACATTTGTTATATCTCGCTAAATAGTTCTTATTACATTACTTGTTCCATTTGTTTTCATTGAAATATCTTGATTATGCAAAACACACACTCCTGCTGCTTTTTCATCATGTATTCAGTTGATTTACTCGGTGCTGCAAAATATTTAATATCAAATTTGTCACACTATGAAGCACTGACTAACTTAATAAAATCAAAATAAAATCAAGCTATGGGTGGCATACATGGCTTTAATGCCAAACCTTTCACTTCATTTAGTTTTTGGAACCTAATTTATTATGAGGCTGGAGATCATAAAGTACCACACTGAGACACTCATTGTCTCTTTTTTTTACAGTAAAAAACATGCAGTTTTCCCAAGTCAAGGTATAAACATATACATAATAAATTAACATTAAGTTGGCCACTATGTGTTATAACTGTGATATTATGTCATTGTGTTTATGGTATGGATTTCAAATAATTTAAATACGCTGAGTTTGATAGTTGGTTTGACTGGGAGTAAAAAAGACGAGTGTCACACAACATTCAGACAAGGCAAAGGAGGGAAAATCCTTTATAGAACAAAAACAACAAGCACCTTCCTGTCATCAAAAATCTTTTACACCCTGTCACCTGCTGCTGAAATCCATGTAACTTTGAGTCAGGTGCATCAATTTCCCTTTGTGTGGCACTGCATTGTACTCGGTTGCACTTTGACAGAGATATTAATCAAGTGAACCTCACACATATATACATTATAGAATAGAAATGCTATACGGACTGTAGTGTTCTAAAAATGCAATTGTTGCGTCTCCTCGAGGGCAGGAGGGGATAACACAACAACTCCGGAAACTCGGTACAGGTGTTATGAAAAAGGTTTAATGGCAGCGCTCTCACAAAATAAATAACCCAGACTCAAACAACAAATGTGGGGGAGAAAGGGACAGTTAGGTTGTGCCAAAAAAAACACCAAAACGACAAAACCAAAACTTAGCTGAGCTATTATCCTAGAAAAGCAAAAACAAGAGGGAAAGACCCTAAACCTCAACTCAAAACAAGCTCAAAATGACATGGGTGGCACCAACCTACTTACCTAGTGTTTCTAACAAAAAGACTCAAAATCACAAAAAGGAAATGCTAAACAATAAAATATTCACCTGACTGGAATTTGAAGAAAATCTTTCATAAAGCTCCATGACAGTTATATTCTGTTGTTTGTGCGTCACTCATGTTACGTGCTACAAATGGACACCCATATTTCTAAACTTGGAAAATTGCACAAATGCCCTGATGTATTATGTATTGATGTATCGAATTTCCCAGAGGAACCCACCCGAGGGATTAATAAAGTTCTATCTAATCTAATCTAATCTAATCTATTACAATTTCAGAACTTCATTTTAGCTATCACACCATGCCATCAATGGTGTCAAGCTTCTGGGGATGCACAGCTTCACTTTGCTTCTTTTCCTGCTGCCTGCACTCTTGCTGGTAATCTTTGAGCACCTTCACTAGCTCGTCATGCCCAAATTGCATGGCATCATCGACCGGTAGATTCCCCCACCTGCAAGTGATGGAGAGGCAATTCATAAAACTATGGATGACAAAATCCAAGACTATACAAACTGTGGTATTAACATTGTGTGCTGATAAATAATTGGAAAAGTTTAGTTGATGGAAAAAGGCTCTTTACAATGAAGTAGTATGACAGTACAGGGTTAATGTAATCATGATTATAATTAGAATTATATACAAGGTATTTATCTCACCTGTCTTCTACAAATGGATCAACTTTGCAGGTTTCAGTGAGGAATTTTACTACATCCATGTGACCTAAGAATATAATTTTTAAAAAGCAAAAAAAACAAATTGTCACCATTGACAAATTAATCTAGTAGCATCACAGAATTAGAAATGGAGAAGAAAATCTGCTAAAATAAAAACAAACAACAATAAATATGTAATTACTAATTCCTTCTATTGGAATCCAGCTCAGAATGGCATTTAGGAATCTTTGCCTTTTCCCTTTTGGAAGAAAACTGCTGTTATTTCCATGTTAATCCTCTAAAACAAATAGTTTGCTTACGAGGCTCTTTTCAAGAAAAATGTTACTGCTGTAGTCGTGGCAGCGGAGTATTAAATCTGTGCTGTGAATAAACTAACATTGCAACAGAAGACAAATAATCTACCATATGGTGCTCTGTAAGGGTTTATGAGCTGGTTCATTAGTGGCTTGTATAATGTGAGCCAGAGGTACTGAACCTCTACTGTTAATCATGAGAATAAACAAAGTGAAAACTTTGCACTAATTACTGCTGTGAGCATCAAAACAAACGATTTAACAAGTTTAAGTATTTTTCTATCAGTCAGCGATGAAAAGAAATGACAGAGTGAACAGACGCCATTCTTTTAACTGAGAGAAGACGCTGGATAGGTAATAAAGGTTGTTTTTATCTGCTATACCAACCAATCATCATTAAAACTGAAATCTGCAACTTTCTGCATCTCTTATCTTACAATTACACCAAGTTTTCTTAAACATCTATGACAAGCTTTTGTGTTGTAGCAAAAGTTTAAATGTATGTTGTTTGGATCAAAGTCATGATTAGTTTGATCTTAGATGATGACTTTAGCTAACTGCACTTGTTTTGAAGTCATTAATTTAAAAATAAATAAGTAAATAAAAAAATTACCGAATAAGTGTAAAATTAGCCTGAACTTATGACGCTTACCCTCAGCTGCAGCAACATGAAGCGCTGTTCGAGAATCATAGTCTTTGAGGTCCATGTCCATGGAAGAAAGTGCAAATCTGCAAAACAAATCACTAACAGTCAGCTACTTTCAAGTGCTCCATTATTCACAAGGGGTCGCCGCAGCGGGTAGCCCTGCATGTTTGATTTGGCAGATTTTTTTCACTAGCTGCCTTTACTGATGCAACCCCAAAGAGATTTGTATCTCCTCCCTGAAACAAATTGTGGATTCCACACTTGTCTTATTAAAAAAGAAAAAGAAAAAGAGAACTCTTATTGGTCCTATACTCTATGCTCTGATTCTGTACTAGGTATAAAAGGTCATTTTGTTCACTACACCTTACTAGTAATAAACATTGTTGAGGTAATTTGATCCAGGGCCTGTTTTAGACATTGTGAGGGAAATGTTTTATAGAGGACAGACAAAATCAGGAGTCTCGATTACCTACCTTCTCAGTGCCGATACATCTCCACTGTAGGCAGCAAACAACAAGTTGAAAACAGACTTGTTCTGCAAAAACATCACAGAGCCATAAACATGGAGGCTTAGAGCACAGCGCATATTACATACAGTACCAAACAAAATACGAGCAACTCACCCTGTCATCTCCATCCTGTCTGCGAGGGTCCTGTTTCTTTACAAAGTGCCTCAAGTTGTCGTAATTGTGAAAATTGAACACTGACACAAGTTCCTAAGAAAACAAAAACAGTATGATTTAATCTTTAGGGGGGAACAAAAAATTTATTTATTCTGTTTTGTTCTGTCAAAAAAAAAAAAATTAAATATTATAAAACAGAATATAACAGCCACAGAATAAGTCAGGTTTATTAGACATTTTGCACTCTGTAAAGCAACTACAGACACATTCTGGGGGAATATTTATGGTATTAGTCGAAGCCAGGCTTCTGGCTTTAAGACGATGTCGATAGTGTAATGACTGCAAATTATTTATCAAACTAAACTGGTTGTTACTATAATCATCATCATCTTTGAAAAAATTAAAGCTTCTACCGTAAGGCCTGAAGTATTGAAGGCTTCAGAGCCAATTTAAACACGAGAAAAATATTAGAAAGGCCAGGATGTTCTACTTGCATTAAAAATTCAAATTAAAACATTAACGTAAAAAAACAAAACATAAGTGGTCTAAATATAATAAAACAGAAACTGTTTTCTTGCCTGACAGAAGTGTATTCCTCGGACACTATTTCCAACCCTGTCCAGTGGAGGAGACCAGCACATCACTCCCATCACATTGGGGATCACCAACAGAATTGCACCGGATACTCCTGATTTTGCAGGCAAGCCCACCTGTGAGATGAGAACAAGAGGCTGAATGTGCCATTTGTTCTAGGTAATGAGATTATTGCTATTTTTGTTGTGACACAGTGAAGTGCTTGTTCCATCACATCCTGCTGTTACTCACATGAAAAGCCATCTGGCCGGAGAAGTCATACATGCCACAGGAGTGCATGAGGCTCAGGGTGTTTCGCACAGCCTCAGTACTCAGGACACGCTCGCCTGTAATTGGGCAAATTCCCCCATTGGCCAGAGTGGCAGCCATGATGCTTCCTGACTCACAGGTTACCTCAATGGAGCAAAGCTGAGAGGAATAGTCAGTTTATTATTGAAACTACTGAATCATTTTTCATAAATAAAAGACTCTTTATTGACATTTTACCTGGAAGTAGAAGTCAAGGGCATCGATCATATCTGCTCCCAGAGGAAAACACTGGTGAGTGAAATATTATCATCATGAGTATCTGATTGACCAAAGTAAGCAGAATATTTATCTGAAACTTGGCAATTTGGTTTCATGAAAATTAAATAATATAAAAACCTTATTAAAAATGTGGAATATGACAGCTGAGTACCTGATCAAAATATACATTTTATAATAAGTTAAAATGGATAAAAATACAGTATTTAGGTTTTAAACGTTAGCTTTTCCTTGTCATGTGTGTCATCTATTGAGTTTCTAAAATGACCTCATGCGGACATTGCTTGAGTTGTCCAACATATTAAAAGTAATACAACCATTGCTAAGGAAAAATCAGTAGTTCTTGGAGGTTTCTGGCTGGCTTCTGATTTGTGTCCTACAGGCCTTATTCACTTGATCCTTCATTGTCACCATGATTGTCACACATCATAAAATGGCAAACAAGTTAATGTCATTTGGTTAGTGGTAACTTGTCTGCAAACCTCAATGAGACACTCAGTTGATCAATTAGTCATTACTTTCATAATTAAATCATGGATGATTAATTTTGATTGTTTTTAATTACTAAAAGATAAGTACTATCAAGTTGAAACTTTTAAATTCATATATGTGAGCTTTAGGAAATGTTTTTTCTGAAACTGACCTTCTTCTCTTTCATGTAGTATCCGATGGCAAAATTCCTGTCGCCTGTTTCTTTTTCTGACTGGAACCTGAGTCAAAGAAAGAGCAGAAATCAATATAAAAAAACATCAATAATGCAATAGGTAGTGGACTAAACCCATAACACAGTAAGTCTTCCCATATGGAAAAGAAATAGTAAAAACATATATGATTTACTCATGAAAGTGGCCACTTTCTCATTACTTTCATATTTTTTTTTAGTAAGTATACAAAACATACAAGTTTCATTATATAATTTTCCAAGGGATCTTATATGTGTTTTCACTCTTGTATGCTTTTCATACAAGTTTCACACAAGACAGATACAAACTTTATAAGATTTATATATATATATATCTTTTCCATATGGGTTTTCACTCATGCTTGTGCTAAATGGAGGCAAATAAATACAAAATACTCCAACTCTATTTTGAAATGCACTCACGTGGCATTGCTGAATCCTACATATTCTTGGCCAGCCATCTTTTTCACAAACTCCATAACCTGGAAAAAAACATCTGTGCTTTTTCAGCATACCTCTGAGCACCAAAATAATAATCCTACATTTTTATATTCATGATCTAAACAGAGTAGAAAACTGGAGGTACATTACTTACATAGTCAAACTTTTCTGCCTTATTTGAGTGAGGCTGAAAACAAGGAGAGTCGCTTGCTTGTGTAAAAACAAACAGTACTGAGTATAATTGCCACATTCACTCAGCTCCTGCATTCAGAAGCTGGTACCAATTGCACAGTATAAAAACACGAATGTGTTACTGATTGCATGATTTAGTATCCTATTATCAGCAGTAAGAGAAGAGCAGGTAATGATCATAAACCAGGTGGTCCAACTTTAAGGCAAACATTGAATATGCTATAAAACATCACAAATTTTCATGCAGTAAAACATCTGATGCATTAAGTTGTTTTAAAATTGAGTGCATAACTTGCTACTGCAAAGTACCATTGCTGCAAGAGTCTTACTCAACAGCAGGGTAAACACAGTTAGTTAGTGCATATTTTAATATTAATTTCTTTATTTAAGAGATTTGAGCTTCAAAAATATATAAAATCTGCAACTAACCTTTTGCTGCCACAGTCTTTCACTAAAAAGAGAGTGATAACTGTTCATATGTCTACCTTGATAAGAGAGCTGATCAAAATGGCTCCAGCATTCACCATGGGATTATGGGGCTTATCTATGAGACGGGACAGTAAGATAAGACACAGGGTTGAAGACAAATTCTTTATGAAATAATGATTTTGTACAAAGGACTGAAATCAATCTCTATAATATGTGAATCAACATAAGAGTTGTGGTCTGAAGTTTATATACACTTGTTATAGTAATTTGGGGATTTTAATGATTTCTTTGCACTGCTGTTTTTCCAGGGTAGAATGATTGTACAGCAAACATCTTCAATTATGTAAAAACAACAAGAATTGGGTACACAAGATTGCAATTATTGTGGATTTTCTCTAATTCAAACAACATCAAAAATATACATGCAGGTTCAAACATACATGCAGCCCCCACTCTTAACAAATTGCACCTCAACCAGATGCTTTTGGTCACCATCAACATGCTACTGGGAGGACTGGATTTTTGACCACTATTCTTAGCAGAGTTCAATGCTAATGTTCAACCCAATGAGTGTCAAACAAATTCTTTTTATGCTGGCAAAAAGAGACTACAATACCACTTGTAGCTTGTAGCTTACTAACAAAGCTAATAGGGCTTGGCGTTGTCAGGTTAAAAGGCATTGTAGAAGCTTCAACAACAGTTATTTAAAAAATTTAATTTGGGCCTGTATGTATACTTTATGTATGCACTTAGTGGGGATAGGTTAATTGGTTAATCCAAATTGCCCATAGGTGTGAATGTGCGAGTGAATGTGAGTGCGAATGGTTGTCTGTCTCTGTGTGTTGGCCCTGCGACAGACTGGCGACCTGTCCAGGGTGTACCCCGCCTCTCGCCCTATGACAGCTGGCTCCAGCGCCCCCCGCGACCCTGAACAGGATAAGCGGACGCGAATGGATGGATGGATGGATGTATACTTTTTAACCTTTTTAGATTAGAGAAATTACAAAGTATATTCAAATTTGTGCCCCGAATTCTTTTTTTAATAAAATATTTTCATATTTTCCAAAATAAAGCTGTACAATCATTCCACCTCTTCCAAAAGAAGAGGTCAAAGAAATCATTAAAATTCCTGAAATTACCACCAAACATACATGCTCATGATGGGTATATGTAAATTTCTGACCACGAGTGCATATTTTAAAAAAAGGGTCCTGACAAAATTCCTAATGTGCATGAAATATAATCTGAATAACAGAATAATATTTGTACCAAAAAAGTACTGCAAAAACAAATTTACAAAATGTCTTTAAATGTATATTGTGTTACCAATTTTTTTTTTTTTAAAGGGCAACCAGTAAATATTTGTTCTTTTTTTTTAAACTGAAAAACAATTACAAACACTACCTTGTTACCAAAATAGCAACTAATCAGTTTATTACATTTCATTAATTATTACTGGTGTAAAATTTGACTCGGTGGAACGGAAATGGCCTGAATTTCACAGTATTTCTCAGAGAAGGAAACCAGTGTCAGTGACAGTTGTGAAGGACCTAAATTCTGTGTCAGAGTAACACAGCTAGATTTCTTCCTTGATATTAAGCAGAAGAATAAAGAAACATTATGATAAAATTATTATGAGAATATAAATTCGGGTTTCATCTGGACGAAGACATTGTTCATCCAGTCAGTTTAGCACTCATGCAGGAGTAAAAGCAAACTAAGATACATGTTATGTGCTGTGCTAGATGCCTCATAACTAGATTTCTTTGAACTTCAGGTGTCATTTCCGCGCACTGATTGCATTGATAGATTTTTATAATCCAATAGGAGGTAATGAGGCTTTACATACCTTCATCATCAAGTGAAAGCACATTGAACTTGAGTCCACTGGGCTCCATGCCAACATAGCGGTGAACCTTCTCAGTTTCTGACTCATGTACGGCAATGGCATACTGCAGGGGCTTCACGCAGGACTGCAGGCAAAACGGCTGTTTGGTGTGGCCTACTGAGTGCCTGCAAAAAAAAAACAGAATAGACCTTTAGAGCCTACACAATCTTGAAAATAAAGTGAAAGTCATACTGAATGTGCAGTATCACTTTAAAAACAAGTATGAACTATGTTTAAGTAGAGACTGAGAGAACGCTCATTTATATTTGATTCACCTTCTGAAATCTGTAGCAAATGCACTGTGTATGAAGATTATAAGACTGGAACTAAAAATTATATTTTGATTACAGAAATGTGTATCAGTAAGTCTGTGACTCAAAATTGGACAAAAATAAAACAAAAGTACAGCAAAACATTAGGCTGATGTTCTGCAAATTTTTTTCACATGAAATTGTCTTACAAAGAATATGTCAAATCAAATAAAGCTAGTTACACACTAGACAAGAAGAATCTTTGTTCCCAGCTGTCATTCAGTGATAGCTGGGAAGTCACAATCTAATGAGGAATCTCATAATATATGAATAAAAAGCTCTATAAATCTCTACAAATCTCATAAAAGACTCTCATTTCATTTATTCAAATGTTTAGTTCCTACCTCTGTCCGTCAACTGTACACAAAGACACACCCCATAGCTCTGGGCTGAATTTAGCCAGTTGGGGAATGTAGTCTGCAACCTGCAGTCACAATGAGAAACACAGTTAAAGTTAAGACAGAAGTAATGCTCATTCAGAAGTAATTGTTAGAACTAATGTTAATGTAGTAGAAGAGATTCCTTATTTACTCATCAAGTATTATGTTTAATGTGTGCAGATATTGGGGCAGCAGGATGAATTAGGAGAAAGCTTTACGCAGCAAATAAACCATCATAGCATGGAAAACTAAATTAGGAAAAGTTTACCTTCCCATCACTTTGCTTCTGCACTTTTTCGTAGATTTCATTTATTTTCTGTACAAACAGGTCAAACTCAGGGATGATAAACTTCTTCCTGAAGGCCTGGATTAGCAGAACAATGTTTCCTCCTACACATCTAAGACAAAAACAGCATAATGCAGAATTACTCAAGAGCCCTAAATAAAAAGAAAATACTTTCATTGTGTGTGCGTGTTGTTTGTGTACCTGTTTAGACATCTTTGTGGGGACCAAAGAATGGAAGTTTACTATACTTGTGGGGACCAATAGCCCGGTCCCCACAAGTCTGAAGGCATTTCAGATTCAAAATGCGGTTTTAGTTAAAGAGATACAATTGGGTTATGGTTAGGTATTAAGAGAGTTTTGTTTAGTTTTCTTTTCATAAAGCTCTGGTGCACGGTCCGGTTAAGGGTTAGGGTTAGGCATTTATTTTTGATGGCTAGTGTTAGGGTACGGGGCTAGGAAAAGAAAAGCATTATGTCAATTAGATGTGTGTGTGTGTGTGTGTGTGTGTGTGTGTGTGTGTGTGTGTAGCCTCTAGAGTAAGTGGAAGCCAGCAGCTGTCAGTTTTCCTTAAGTGTGAGAAGCTGTTCCTTTGATCAAAACGACAGTAAATAAAACTGACATGTCCTGACACCGACTTTCACACCTCCATGTTTGGGATGGATCTTGATGAAATGCATGTATTTAATTATGACATTACAATGTGTGTGAATTTATTACTGTATGATAAATCTAACATTCTTAAGCTATACCTGTACGTATTTGCATTACATTATACAGTGTATCAGTTTTTCAATTTATTATTTATAAAGAAAAAATCTGTATGCGCACAATTTGTGACACCAGAAGCCTTAAAAATTGCATAAAATGTTGTCCATTTAGTTCCGACTTCTTCCACATTCTATAGTTCCGCCTTATCATTCTTAAACCTGTCTGAATGACTGAACATAAAGTACGTGGAAGACAAAAGAAGAGAGAAACAATTATGCATAACATCACATACAACAAATCCTGTACTAAAATGGATTGTTAGTGGAAGGTCAGGCTAAAAATAGTTTGGTCTCATGCCTGCACCTGCTTCCTCATGCATGGAAAACAAAACACCATGGACTGTCACAGCTAAGATAGCCCTCTCTGAGGGATAGTGTAACGAAGATTAAGTCCAACAAAAAAACAACAATAATTGTGGGAGAAATGTAAAGTTAAATTTCCTGTCAACTGCCGCATTAGATCCATTTTTCTTGGCCACTGTTGCCCTTTAGAGTTTGCTAAAAGTTATTCTGTGTGCCATTTTCTTAACTTGATTTCTGACTTGCTAAACTGACACACAAATGACAAATCATGGGCTTATCCACAGACTGCATTGGTTTCACAGAGTGGCATAAGAAATAATATTATTAATAAAAAACAAAACACAATGAAATAACCAAAACAACAACAAAAAACAAAAAAAGGGAGCAAAACTATATCTCCAGCAGCCGCAGGACTAACAGTTAAATGTCAGCACTTACAGACAGTTCACCGCGAGGGTCGACGTACTGAGTGTAAATAACCCTAATGCAATGAAACTTAGCCTCATTTGATTTGTAGTGATCAAAGACATAAAGCGTTTACCAGCAATGTAAACCATTTTTCCAAATTGAATCACACTCTGTAGACAGAGGCAGCTGTGGCTCAGGCTCGCTGTCCAATAACCACAGGGTTACTGATCTGATCTCTGTGTCCTAATTGTAAAATGCTTTGTTTATTAAGTTAAAAAAGTGCACACATTTCCAGCTAGACCATGGGTATTAAACTTAAGGCCCAGGGGCCAGAATCGGCACAATGGACAGCTTTGGAAAATGTGAAGGGGTTATAAATGTTTGTATTTTTAACTGTATTTTAATAGGTTTTGCAGCATTTTATGCTTTTAAAGACCTCCCCCGTCACAATTTATACTACACCACAGTAATTAAAAAATATATGAATATTTAAATAAGAGAAAAGTTCCTGTTTTTTAATACTGACTTTACAGTGAATCCACAAGAAAAGAGCATTCTCTGTGAATTAAGAGAAACTTTCTGTTTTGTTATTGCAGGACAGTCTGAGCAATTAGCTACCAGAAATTCTTGTTTCCTGTCTTGTGAAAGATTTCTTTCAATTATTTCATCTACTACACCACCATTACTATGTCATATGGAAAATCTAGGACTTACTGTGTAATTCTACTTTTTTCTGACATTATTCTCAGAGATTAGATGTGTAGTTAAACTTTTTTTTACATCGTTAGAAAAGAGAATTTCAATGGTTAGGCCTACTTAAAATCAAAGTGATATAAAATAATTATCTAGACTTTCCTCTATCTTCTACTGGTTGGACTTCAGTAGAAGATAGAGGTTGTCTTTTAAACAGTTTGCATTTGTAAAATTTACAAGATATGGGGGTTATCATGGTCTACTACAGTGGAGTTGACTGTTCTCTTGTCAGTAGGAAAGGCACAGGCTTTCTAATCACAGTATATAGTTATATTCATAACGCCCTGGCAGTAAACCTGTATATACAAGACCATGGCCCCCAAATTGCTCCAGAACCAAATTGCAGGAAAATACAAAAGAAATTCTTTAATTAAATTAAGTTTTGGTCAGACTGGATTCTTTTTAGTTTAATTAAAGAATGATTAACTGACTCATTTCCCAATCATTCTGAACTGCCTGTGTGCTTTGGAGGTGCTATTGACATAAATTTTCTTAGCCTTGAGAAACCGCTTGACTTGGTTGCCTGGTGGTTGTCACCTGTGGAAAAGGTCTTTGTCCATCATCACCTCGCCAACAGATTCCTTCACGGCCTTTCGGAGCTTCTCCATGCAGTCTTTAAGGCGAGGATCGGATGGGTGAAGGCCATTTTTTTTCAGTGCCTGCAAATAAGAAGTTGTCAGCATTAATGTCATTGCACACAGTATGTACAATAAATAGGATAGTATATATTCAGTAGCAACAGTGCATATAAAGTAATGTACAGATGATGTCTGCTTACTGCTGTAAAGTGTGAGATGGGCACTTGCTCTTTTCCCTCTGTGATGGTGTAGAAAAGCATGTTTTCCACTCCGGAACCAGATGGCTTTGAATGCATATTCCTGGTGAAGTGAAGAGCACACTCTTGAAAAGAGGAAAACAATCAAAAGAAGTGTTGGATTCCCTTAAAAAAAAAAACACAACAGCAACAACAAATAAAAGACAAGATTGCTTTTATAGCCTATACATGCTGCACACACAGACATAACCACCTATATGGAGGTCCATATGGTGACTGTTCTCTTCCTCCTATAGTTTCTCTGTGCCCATAACACAGAAAACAACTGCTTATGCACAAATAATTATATACCAGCATATGGCAGATAATAGTTAGTGTGGAGGCGTTCTGTTTAAACGAATTCACACCAGTAAGAAGGTGCTGATTCTCACCAGTTTAGCACACACATACTTACATTTTCAGATGCAAACGATCGCGTAGTGCAGGGGATCGTCTCTGAAACTGAGTTATTGATTTCGTGCCCAAACAGCATGCTGGTTGCACGATGAAAACCTTCTTCGCCACATCTGTACTTTTGACCATCAGTTGAGCAGAGTTTGACAGGCGCAGCGCGTTCAGGAAATGCATGGCTGCGACAAACGGCACAAATAAAGCCTTCGCGATAGTTCGTTCAGGATGAAATCAACACAGATAACCTTGCTGTTATTTTCTGAGCTGGACGCCAGCTGATCGTGCGAGGTCGTTGACTTACCAGCTTTAGGCTGAAGTTGAAGTTTTGTTACCTTCATGTGTCATCGGAAAGGTGGGACTGTTTTTTTACAAGCCCTTTACAATACAGTTCATTTACTTGGAAAAAAACATTTAACTTAAAATATATAGAGATCTCGACTACTTAAACAGCACAACAAGAAACAGGTTTATATTATTAAAACAGCCCAGAATGTGTCACAACCCACAACTCCACAAATACTCGTTTGAAGCGTGGTTAAAGTTTTACAAGGAGCATTTGAAAGCAGCAGAGTCTGCACAGGAGCCGGTCAGAAGCTAGAAATAAATTTCCCAATCTGAAACTCCAAAGCTGCTGGAGTATTAAAACGCGCATAAGAAAGAAATGTTAATATTTTACGCATTACTTAACTGCTTTTGCAACATTATGGGGAAAAAAATCTAATGTTTATAGTACGGCAATTTTAAGCACTTTAGTTCTGAAACTTTCATGCGATGTTTTAGCACCACCTGGTGGATTTTCCAGTCAGTAGGTTTGAATGTAATGTGGTGTACATTTATAGTTGGCTAGCAATGTGCCAGAATACTGAACCCAGTTCTGGCGAAACATATTTTTTTTCTTGTTTCTTCTAGTGGTTCAGATGACTCACTCTATCTGCTTATTTGCATTAAAAAACATAAAACAGTAATAATGTCCCTCCATCATGGTAATTAATTCCATCTCTGTCAGTTGAAAATGTCCCGGAGCTACTGAACTGCATTTAGAAAGTATACAAAATAGTATAAAATAATGTTTAAAGACCCAACAATAATACAGTCATACACAACTTAAAAACATGACAATCACACACATACAGTGCATGAGTCTTCATATATGCATATTTCTTCTCATTTAACTGCCGTGTTCATGTTGCCCATAACTGTAGCTCAACCTGTAGACATTGTTTCAGAGCAAAGCTTTATTTATTTTCTTTCTGTATGCAGCCCGTTCTCACTCCCGTTTCAGCAGCATCCTTGCATTCTGACAAACACAGTTTCTTAATATTAAAATGTTCTTTATTTAGGCTTCCATGGTGAACAACATCCATAACAAGCACCTTAAATAATAGCATTAAAACACCCAACAAACAGAATAATATGCATACGGTAAACTGTATGAGTATTTTTGTGTTGTCTAGAAGTGTCAAAGAGACATTACAGAGGAAAAAGACTTTTCTATGGTATACACTTATAAATATAATAACAGTAATTTCTAAAGTTGTCGTATTATCATCGCATGGCCAACTCTGATAAGGAAAATAGATCAAGAAAAAAAACTTTTTTAATGTCAGCCTCCTTATTGCGTCAAAATGACATAAAGTAGGTCATCCCAAATCAGACGCTCTTTGAAGGACGTGGAAGCACGAGCTTCAGTGCAATATCAACTACAAAGGAAGGCATGTAAGAGAGGGGGATCCAGACAAGCTTGGCATCCCAGCCAGCACTGTATCTGGTGCGAGGGTAGGCAGCAGAGAGAGCGTGCTCCATGCAGTTGGTCACTTTAGTGAGGTCAGAGTCGCAGACGGCATTCATGATCAAACGCTGTATATTGACATCTTAAAAAGAGAATTATGTATCGTGACCAGATAGTAATTTGTGATATTTTTAAGCCACAGTAAACTTGCAATTTCCAAGAATCCTTCATTCTTATCTGATGTTCAATGATTTATTTTTATACTTCATTTTTTTAAAAGCACACAAACATATTTTTGGATTAACATGTTATGTATGAATCTTGGAAGTCACTTCTCAATAGGTGACTTTTTATATCTAAAATTAACAGTTACATTTCATTCCTAGTGTATCAAAGCAAAAAACAAACAAACAAACAAACAAAAACGAGTAAAAAAAAAATCAGTAAGAATGTGACAAAATTGACATATTCTGCATCAATAAAATGCTTCAGATGATCCACGGCCCATTGTACTTACATTTATCAAGGTATTTGTCTCCATAGCTGGCCTTTACTTCAGGGCTGAGTTGGTTCCACAGGCGATGGAGCTCCCTCTCAATGGGTTCGAGGCTCGTTACTGCAGTCTTGAAAAACCCGGGCTCAACGATACATACCTTAATTCCAAAGTAGTGGATGTCTCTCCTGGAAACACAGATATGCTCTGTGTGTTGCTTTTTCATAGCAATAACAAAACCTCATCTAATTTTGAGCACCACTTTCTAACAGGTCACCATTCACACATGTCTTGCTTTATATCTGCTTTACAATTTATTTGTGAGATATTAATAAAAATATTTGGATTGGTAGAAAGGCCAATCAAATGGCCAAATGGATTGGCCATCTGCATTTAAGCCAAAAAATGAGTCTAAAAATCTCTACTTGTCATTAGTATTCCCTTACAGTGCGGGCTTTCTTGATTTTCTGAGAGTGCAAATGAGTTCTTATCAATTGTTTATAACTGATACATTGTATTCTATTACTATCAAATAGTGTTGAATGACCTACTGAACATTAGTAAAGTCTTGAGTTTCCACTTACCAACTAATATTCAGGTTTATAGATTTAGATGGTTTCAGTGCTAGCGCTATAACACAGGCTGCAAGCTTTTCATTGTCATTAATGAAAACATAATCAACTACCTGGCAGAAAAACAGAGTTAATGTAGCTATGTGAGTCAGTGAGGGCAACAAACATTTCCCCCCGTTTGGCCTCAGAACCAAAAATCCTTCTCTGAGGCACGCTGTGGCCAAATTAGGTCTATTTGTACAATTGGTTAGATGGTGTGCATTTTTAGTGCACTCTGTAATTTACTGATGGTCTTTTTTAATCACTGAAAATGTAATAAAACTGTATCACCCATGCTAACTTTCTAATTATGATACACTGTCTGTCTTTCTAAATAAGAAGAAAGTACCAACTGGGTCCTTAAGCTAATATATATGGTTGCAGCAGCCCTTTAAATGAGTCTTACCTGAGGCAGTCAGAGAAAGATTCTACTGCAAACTTGGAAATGCAGTATCCACCACCATTTGCTGCCACTCTACCAAGCACTGATGCTACATTTACAATACGACCACGAGCCTGTTTGATGAGGGGCAGGAAGGTCATTGTCATGGCAATCACTCCATTCATGTTTACTTTCAGTGTGCTGTGGAAATCCTCCACTTTCATCCACTCGGATGGACCCATGGGTAATGAACGTCCAGCATTGTTCACAAGACCCCAAAGTCCTACAAAGCAAATAAAAAGACAAAACAAGGAAAACATGATGTTGTGTTTTGTTTACAGGCTTGCCTTGTGTGATCTGATAATGTCCTACAATCGTATATGTAACTGTAGGAAATCATCTCTCACCCTTATCGCCAACCTCTTGCTTGGTCCACTCCATTGCTTTTTCAATGCTATCCTGACTGGTCACATCCAGCAGGACAGTCTTCAGATAAGGCCCTGCCACTCTTTTCAGATCATCAGCTCCCTTTTCTGTGAGACAGCCAGCTAGTACACGGAAACCTTTACGATCCAGTTTCTTGCACAGCAGGTTTCCAAACCCCGTGTCACAGCCAGTAACAAAGACATACTTATTTTTGAAATCCTCAATCTCCAAGCTGTCTCTGTAGAGCCACCCGACAATCCACAACACAATGAAGGTAGCAGAGATGTATAACCAAGCATTTTCCCTAAAAGAGATCAAATAATATGTAATAAGAATGTTAAGTATTTGACTGTCACATCTGCATCTGTGAGTATGGTACGGTATGACTACAGGTAGCAAAGAAATCAAGAAGTCAAAGTTTAGTTTTGGTATTTCTTACCCTAAAAGGTCATACACAAACTGTGTATCCATGATGTCTTCAGGACTAGAAGTAGTTTTTCAGTCACTGTGAGAACTTGATGCCTGCTGAAATAACATGTTAGTATGTACTGACATGGGAAGCTCTCAAATACAGTTTTCAGAGAAGAGAATGTAAATCAGAAATACATTGATACGTTTCAGGAATGTTGCAAAACCGATTTTGTCTCAATTCCACAATAATTAGGTTTTTATTGAAGCTTTATATTGTTTTATTTCATCTTTTTGACAGCTATTTGACACAATGAATTTGTTCAGTGAGAGCCATAATTGAAGGGTGCCCCTAATGCAAAACTGCTTTGGCTGCTCTGGGCATGTGATAAATCTTTGGATAATACTCTTAAGGAAGAAAGAAAAGGCATTTGTGATGGAGTAAAACCCAGTGAGTGGGGGGGACGAAGACATGTTTTTGAAGCATAATTTTAATACCCGTAACGGATCTGCTTGGGATTGCTGAAAACTAATTAGTCTGCAGGCTTATTATTGTAACAAAAAAACTTCTGTGGCTTAAGGTATCCAAAATATTTATTGTGTGGAAAAACTAATACTTGTTAAAATCTTGTTACATTTGGGATAAATTAAGTTAGCAAGTAGAGTTATAATTACATTTTCTGAACCAGAACACTCTCTCAGAAAGAGAGGGATGTCAGTGCAAGGTTTATGCTACAGCTGCCCTAAATTAACAATATTGGTAATTACCAAATTGATTTCTTATGTTTCTGTAATCGTTATTCCACCAGTGTGTACAAGCTCTTTCACCGTAATGATATTTTTAATGCTAGAATATAATTATTTTGGTTAACCACAAATGTTCAAATTTGCTGTTTTACAAAAAAAGCAGAAAAAAATAATAAACCACATTATTATTTTTGATGCCAAATTACAGTAATTTTCCAACTGAATGCTAAATGCTTGATTAATTTTGTGACTTCTCAGGGACTTCTCTAGTGTTCCATTTCAAATTTGGGTACAAAACCATGAAATCAGTTTGCTATTAGCCTAATAGCAAATGACAATATATTTTTTTTGTTTTTAACTGGTTTTTGACAGATTTCTAAAATATGTTTTCTTGTTTTTTATGACATGTGGTTTACTAAATTTGCTAATAACTGTTTAAATCTCAATCAGTGTAAATTTATAATCAGACAAAACTCAAAAGTTCATTTCTGCATATCTTGAGTTTTTAATATTCACATTTAAACTAATTACTTTCTTCGATTAAACTGAAGTGGTGAGTAAAACACAAAACTGTGTTGTCCTACCTTTTTATCTTTTGAGAAGTGATGGCGCTCCACACGTTGTCGCTCCTCTTCCTGTTCCCTTTCTGGTTATTCTCCTGTCTTAGTTCAGCTGGCTGGACAGAAGCTTTATCCCTGTTGTTTATCCCTTTAGACTAGCCCGCTATTGGTAATCCAGCAACGCGTAACCATTTGGTTGGTGTGTTTAAAAAAAAGGTGGTGGGAACGAAACAAACAAAAACCCTTTTCTGTGACGTGCACTTGGATTTCAAGATCTTCTTAAAGACATTTTAACATGTTACGTCAGGTCCTTTCAAATGGTGCACCACAAAGTGTATACAGTATATATTTTCAAAGCCTGAAGGTTCCTAGTTTATAGCGGCATGAATACTTTGTGTTTTAAGAGTATTTATACAAATTGTGATAATCCTGTAGGACCAAGCATGAGTACAATCTGTGACTGCCTCAGTTCACCTGACAGTTATATCAGTAATAAAGCTCATACAGTACTCTTTTAACAGTCTCTATGACCTGCGTAATTTTTGGGCCGGTGGAAAAAGAACAAATACATCCAATGTTTGTTTTTTTTTTAAACTAAAATTAGATTAAGAGCAGTCTCGTGTGGTAAATTTCTTGCCTGTAATACGATTAGTGAACTCACAAACCACACTCACTGACACGTCACACATTCCACAAACTGTCCAAGCACCTTAGCCAGGCAGGTATTTATCCACTTACTATATTTATATCAAAACTTGTTGCAATAGTTGCAAGTCTATAAATGTTCAGGTCTCTTTGGGATTTTCACATTTGTAACAGGTACACTGAAGCCAAAAAAACAAAACAAAAAAAAATTCTTGATCCTGAAGTAATTTTGAAGGAAACTGCCCACTTGTAACCCTCACAGCCTTTAACTCTCACTTGTTCTCCAGTTGTGTTGTAAAGATTTAATCTGTGCTTACCCAACACTGACATCTGCTGTGCATATGAACCTCCTGACAACGTATCTCCTTAAAAAGCAGCCTACAGGCTTTTCTTTCTTAAATGAGGTACTTTATACAAATATTCACATTTCCTTGTTCCCAATTTCATTATATGTAACAACTGTTCAATTAACACATTTTTTTATAAGAAGAAAACACAAGTGAAAATTTTTAAACTTTATTAAAATATTTTTCCATCATTAACAACATCTGAAATCCATCCATCATTCAGGTATCAGGCACAGAAAAGAAAGCCATAAAACAAAATGCTTTTTTTGGATATACTAAATAAAGGTAACCGGTGTTTATTATGTCTGTGGCTTCTTCAACCTATTGCAAAGGGGTAAACTGAATCTTTACAACAATGTTACTTTTTCCTATTTTATTCAACAAATCAGGCAATGTAGTGAACCAATTTGTCTGACTCGGCCCCCACCTCTATCGCCTACTGTCACTCACCACATGGAGTGACAGGATCCCTGCAGGGCTGTGTTCTTAGCCCCCTACTGTATGTATGCCGTGTGCACACGACTATGTCCTGAGGAAGAATAACCAGGACTGGGAGCTGCTGGCCTTCTACCACTCATCAGGTACGCAAGGACCACAACTGAGAACAGGAAGGCTATGCAAAGGGTAATTAACACTGCCCCAAAAATGATTCCTCTTCCACCCCTGGAGGCCATCGCCAGATTCTCCTGTTTCAGAAAAAGTAGGGCCACAGGTGACTCTTTGCACCCCCCCCTCCCCATTTGTACATGAACTATTCTATTCTAAATATTTATCTACTGTTATTTAGGTTGTTGCAACCTTGATCTGTAAGCACCTCCAACACTGCTGCTAACACAACAACATACCTACAATTTCTGCACATGTGCATTTAATTGTTAAAGCAGCAGAATTCTGATGTTCATCTGAGCTGCCCTGGCAGACAAGCAAATAAACTGCTGACAAAGGCAAAACACATATTCGCTGATAGGGGTCAACTCAAGTAGATTTAAATGTTATTCCAGTGTATTCAGTTTCACTTGCAAATGTCCAGCACGTACACGTTCATGGTTTATGAGCAAGCAGACTGAAGCTGACCCTTGTGTACATACTCCAGCGCTGTTGCTATTGTCCTCATGTCCATCTCAATACTGCGTGCCCAGTTTTCTACATCTCCAATTTCCTGTTTAAATGAGAGCATGAAAAAAATTTGTATTCACAACCTTGTTAATGTACAAATATAACCCACTATCAGCCCTCTTTAATTCCCAAAATGTGTTTTTTGGATTATTTTTCAAAAGGGGAAAAGTGTGTTGAGCTCAGATTAAGTCCCTAATTAAAATGTGTTTGTACAAGCAATTCCTTGGTGATGTCACAAATAACTCCAAAGCCAATCATGATCCAGTTTGTATTTTACACAAGTGCGATGTGTTGACCTGGAACTGCCAGTGCACAACAGAGAGCGCAGATCTTTGGAAGATGCATAAACAGTTTTGTTTGTATGTACTCCTGACGTTATTTAACACAAGGTTACAATAGTACTTTATTTGCTCCAGCGTCTAGTGTTACAGTTTTAATGTGTTTTACTCCTCACACTTGCACAAAGAACTGCAGCTAGAAGTTAGCCTGCTGACACACTTAAGGGGATGTCTTTTAGGGAATTTTTGGATAAAAATTATACTGACAAAAAAACATGTCAAACGAATTATCATTACTAGTACAATATTATTAAATATCATAAAGTTCTTTTAACATTTTCATCCTAACTGACCTTGAAAAAATGCTGATGTTTGCTGCAAAATCATTTTGCAACATGACTGTGTTCAAGACTGATATGGTAGATTTGAGATGATGACAGACGACAGCCATTTCCTTTTAACCTACCTTTAATGCTTGATTGAAACCCTCCACCATACTGATCCACTGAGCAGTTTGTTTGGAGAACTGGCTTGCCTGCACTTGGAGAGTCTTAACCTCATGGTCAAGCTTTCGCTGGTTTACATATGCCTGTGCAACTCTAAAATGAAACAGAACAAAATAATGAGGTTTAGGGCATTATAATACATATAGCCGCTTCAATTTCAATACACTGAAACCATACACTGTTACTCAATATAGTAAAAATCTCTCTTTGTCCCAGAAGGATTTTGGTCTGGTGGCTAATCTTTTTCATGCAGGAGCAGCACAACAATAATGGTCTTTGCATCCCACTCTGAGTCTCTTAAGCTGATTGTCCTGGTTTCATCACATCTTTCACAATACATTGTTAATAATTTCAGCATACTGTTTTTGGCTGTGTTAAATATTAGGCGATGTCCATCCTGTTAAGAATAAACTGTTTGATTAATTTGGTCCGAAGAAGGTGTCAGTAATGTGAAAGCCTGGAGAAACAGTATGACTAAAATCTGATGTGTGTGACAGCCTTTTGTCAGCCTGGCACTGACATACCATATACGAAGTAATCAGTCGAAAAATTATTATTAATTAGTGGGATACAAATAATAAATAATTACTAGCTATTAACATCACACTAAAATCAAGATACTTTTAAAATTGTTTACACTTGACTTTAAATAAGCAAAAAAATATTTAATGTAACATATTCTCTAACTTTATTGTCATTTTACATTAAATATCTTTAGATTTTGAATACTGGTTGTAAACAACACAACATGTGGAAAGTTAATATTGGGCTCAGAGATTTTTCACAACTTGCTTACTTTCCATTGACTAAACTTGCAATGTAAAAAAGAAAATCAATAATTACTGGTGCTGAAACAAGTACAGCTTTCAGAGCAACACTTAAAAGTAAATAATACAATTGGTGCAGGACACAGATGTCCAATATTCCAGAGAGATTGCGTGAAATGTACCTTTCTGTGGGACCTCCAAAGGTTGATTCTGTTCATCTGAACGTAGCATTTTCAGGGGGAGAAACGTTTTGTCACTCATCCAAGTGACGAAACCTGGATGAGTTTTGGACCCGATCCTGGGGGTGGACCAATTTTTGGCGCAGCGCGTTTTGGCCTAAGCAAAAACCTGTAGGGATTCTGTATGTTTCAGGAGTATCAAGACACATTTTTGCTAAACACCGTGTCTCCTGTGGCTTTTAAACCCCAAAACACGATGTGACAAAAATTGGTCCACCCCAAGGATCAGGTCCCCCGACGCAAACAAGAGTAACATAGTGTACGCTGTTAAGTGCCAGGAGGATTGCCAGGACTTATACATCGGGGAAACCAAACAACCTCAGGCGAAGCGGATGGCACAACACAGAAAAGCTACCTCCGCAGTCTATTTACTAGACACTACAGTCTAGTGGCCTGTAGTGTCAATGATGAGGATGTACACATCCTGGACAGGGAGGAACGCTGGTTTGAGCGCGTAGTCAAGGAGGCCATTTACGTGAAAAGGCAAAGGCCATCTCTGAATCGAGAAGGGGGTCTAAGGGTACATCTCTTGGCATCTTACAGTGCTGTGATTGCAGCCATTCCCCAACTCTCTGTGAATGGTACTCATGGCCATTGATCAATGGGCTTTGATCAGTGGTTGTTGATCAATGGAACTGACCTCCCAGCGCATTGTTCCTTCAGTGGTGTTAGTTTCGATCATTATGCAAATGTACTGTTTATACGATTGGGGAAACCTGCAGTAAACTGAGACTGAAGAAGTCACTTGGAAGAGTGGCGAAACGTTACTCCCACTAAAAACGCTACGTCCAGATCAACAGAATCAACTTTTGGAGATTTACTTACCTGGATGACTGAGCATTCCTTAAATACTACCAAACCAAAATGAACAGCAAGAAATAAGCAAAAAGAAAAAAGAAAGGAATCACCGTCATACCCAACGTTGAGGTGGTCTACCAGGGCTTCTGTCAAACAAGTGGCTGCAGCAATTGCTTCACGTCTGCGTTTCTCTGTGACAGAAAAAAGACATTACTACAATCAATCAACACCGGACTTGTAGCACTGTGTGGTGCTGGGACATCCTAAGTCAAAGAGAGCTTTGTTTTTAGCAATGGTTAGCACTGGCGGCTATCACTATCGATTTTTGTTATCACACACCCTGCAGCTCCTTCCGCTCATTTTGCTTTGCCTGGTGCTCCTTCAATAGACGAGATAACATCGTGCTTCAGCAGACGTTATATTAATGGCGAACGTGACTGCTCATAGAACAAATAACATATCATTTACCACACCGCGGCGTTTCTTGCTGACTGCTAACAATTACAGCCGTGTCACGGGACTAAAAAGACGGATGTCACACGTGGGCGTGTCCACACTTTGGCCATCGAGTAAATGTCTGAATAATTTCATAAATAAAACCATATATTTTAGTATGTACTGCCAAACAATGTAAAATTTAAAGGAACATAAACGTATCTTGTATCTTGTTAAATTATACGATTGTTTTATCTTTTTTTTATGTCAGCAGCTTCAACATCCCTTCAAAATAAAAGCTTGCCTATAGGCTACATTTACTAATACTGCAGACAGAAATCAAATGACAAAACTACTCTAGTCCAGACTTATAATAGCAGCAAGCTGGGGGAAAAATACCAAGACAAATATAGTCTGGTGCATCGTGCTGTTTTATTTTTGTCTTTTTGTTTTTGATTGTGTATTACGTTATAATAAAAATTAACATGGTCTGACGCCTAATGTTGCTTATAACTTATATAGATAATCAGATTATATAGATAATAAGCCTTTTTCTCCAATGCTTTATTATGAAAAACTTGTACCGGAAAACCTGGACTTGTTCAAGCTAGCGGATCACTGGTCTGAGCTGATGTTGTTATCTTACCTGTCATCATTCAGACATAGCTGAAACTAAAGTTTTTGTCACTCTTTATCCTCTTCTTTAATCAGGTATGGTCACTTAGAGTTCTTCCAAGGAACAGCTTTGATTATTCCTCCTCTAAATAGTCGAATGAGTGAAAGTGGTGTTAGCATTTCGAGCGTGGGTTTAATGCATGGTTAGCTAAAGCCTTGATCAGGATATCGGTGTGCAAAGTTCCAGGTTCTTGAACTTGTCCGCCTTCGTTACAGTTATGAAACAGTTTACAAGCTGGCTAGTAATGGTGATGTGACAGCTTAAACGGAAACTCTACTAGAGTCTAGTGTTTAACGCTGTCTTAATAACTAATCTTCTGTTGGCTAACATTACTGCTAACCTGTGAGAAAATTGAGCCTAATGCGCAACGAGATCAGATATCAGTTTACTGACTGATATCCTCCGTCTCGTTTCCCTTCTGTTTATATATATAAAACCTCACAAACTAACAAGCAGAAATCATTTTACTCCATACAACCTCAGTTTCTCAGTACCAATATCTCAAACCTCAACATTGAACAGTATGTATGCCAATAGATTTTTTTTTTTTATACTGACCAACCATTATTTAGTTCAGGCTCTGTTTTGATTACTAAAATTGACTGTCTAGCACACATAGCAATGCGGTTTGCTGATTTACAAGCTCTACCAGATGAGTGACAGATTTGGACAGCAGTTATGAATGATTTCCCTGGGCCTGTGTGCTGCGAAGCTAGTGAGGGTATAGCTCATTTTTTTTGTGTGTGTATTGTAAACCACAGTCAATTTAAATATTTAACCAGAGTGATAATTGAGATAACATGTTATCTTTGAGTCAACAAAAAATTATCCCAGATACCAGAATCTGTCTCAAGTATCTCTTTGTTTTATTTAGATTGCTTACTCACAGTTGACTATAAATGAGGTTATATTTTTCACTCTTGAAGTATTAAGTTATATGTGATAACATTGATTGGAGGTTCATTTGTTGTTGCCACTTAGGCTCTAATGTTATGGATGAACCATGAAGGCCCAGTTGCAAGTTACTGGTAAGTTATTGTTTTTGCAAAATTTGTATGCTCATCATTTAACAAAAACCAGTAGAGGACTGTGATAAATTCTTAATGGTGTTTTCTTTTATCATTATTAATATGCTTAACATCTGTCATGGAAACCTAGATTTTGATGAATCCCTTGATCTTAAAAAAAATACCTTAAAGCTGGTTGTAAATAAACTGACTGCTGTTGAGCTCAGGATGCATGGGGCTACAGGAAGTGGTTTTAAAATCTTGGTTTTCCATGACTAGAATTTCTATTTTTCCAGTGCTTTCAGCTAAGCTGAAGGAAAACAAAAAGACCTGGTTTGGTCCAAGTCCATATGTTGAAATAGCAGTGGATGGCCAGTCAAAGAGGACTGAGAAATGCAACAACACACACAGCCCTAAATGGAAGCAGGCTCTCACAGTGTGAGTACAACTGCGAAAATTTGTTTAGGTCCATATTTTAGCAGAATGTTGCAATTGTAGACAGTAAATGTAATGTAAGATATAATGGAGGATTAAAATCATCATAGACTTATTAATTGGATTTCCTCTGTACTTGGAGGTGGGAAAAACAAAACAAAAAGCATCAATGCTTGATGAGTTTCAAACAAAAGCTAAGAAGCTGTACAGATTCCCTCAATTATTTCTCTGCTGTTGTATCGTATTGGTTGGTGCTGTATGCTGAAAATTTCTCACCTTTCTACAGAATTGTGACGCCGTTCAGCAAACTGATATTTCGTGTTTGGAGCCATCAGACACTCAAGTCAGACATTCTATTGGGTCTAGCTACATTGGAAATCAGCAAGACCCTTAAGGCCAATGACATGAAATGTAAGTTCATTTTCCTAAGTGGTGATTTTTTTTCCCCCCCACTATTGGCATGATATGGTAAATGGACTGGAAGTTATGTAGCACTTTTCTACTTTATTTGAGCACTCAAAACACTTTCATTCACATGTTTATACAGGCACTTTTTTCTATCCCTAGTGCTTTTGTCACACTCATTATAACACGCTGATGAGTGCAACACAGGGTTCAGTACTATAGGATAATTTGAAATGCAGACTGGAGGAATTGAACAACTGACCTTCTCATCAATAGGAGCTGTACCTCCTGAGCTACAGCCATGCATGAGACAGTTGTGAAAATGTTGTAGCACAAGGACACTTGAGAGTTTGTTTATGCTGCTATTTTCTATATTAACCTTGGATACGGAAAGATGTTCTGAGGAAATGAGTATACAGATAATATTTCTAGGTTCTTGGAGTTGAGCTGTACAAAATCGTAAATTGTATAAAGACAAAGCTGTTACTACATGACTTCATGATTTCATGATAATAACAAATTAGATCACTTTTGAACTCACTTTCTGACTTCATTTTCTTTGTCTATGTCTCACAATTGCATGTCATATTTGGTAATTGATGCACATTCTGTAGATGCTGTACACTGCATCACCTATACATATGAGCTTTTCTGTGTTTGAAGTAACTAAATACAATGCCTCCTCAGACCTGGTCAGTGTGCATAGCATTACAGTGACATTACAGTCTGGTCTACATTCTCTGTAAGAGCTACTTGTCTGTGATTTTTAAAGCACTGAATGAGATTCTTGTTGCACATGGTTTTTGAGGCATTACATGTGACTGGAGTTTTTCAGTTCTGCTCTTTTCACACTGTCACAGTTTGGGCTAAAAAAGGAAACGCTGCTTTAAAAATCAGGTGATTAATAACAATCTGAGACCGACTGAGTAGGAAATTGTTCTTCAGTATTTGTTTATTTTAGTAATAAATGTTACTAGGAGAAAAATGTGCTTGTAGGAGCAGTTTTTAATTAAACCAGGACATCGTTAATAATTGCTTTTATTCTTTTGTGTTATGGTATCATATGTGTTCTCTTGTCTTGTAATTATATTGCCTGCTTAAAACTTGACATGTATTCTGTCCCCCTTAAGTATGTGAGGTCGTGCAGACACTGCAGCTGTGCTCTGACAGAGACCCCCAGGATCTTGTAGGTGACTTGTCAGTCTGTCTGGATGGCATGCAGGTAGACCCAGAAACCTTTGGCTTGGCAGAGAGAGAACAAGGTGAGAGACCACGCTCACACAAACCCAGTATACTATGTGGGACACATTTGCAATTTTAGAACAGGAATGCTCATAATCTGTAATTTGAAAATGAATAGAATTGCAGAATAAATTTAGCTTGTTACCATGTTGGTCATTATTAATGAATTTGATAGCAAGGTGGAAACTGCTGCCAGGTTGTAAATGCTTATCAGTGTTCTGTGCCCTGACAAGACAGTAGTAGTCACTAGTAGTAGTCACTAATGCAGGTAGATATAAAGGTTACAAGTAATGACTTGTAACCTTTATATCTACCTGCATTAGTGACTACATTTGCACCCAAGCATTTGAGAACTTGGGAGTTACACATACATTTTTGAATGTCACATTAAACATTTGTCTTTTACTTTGATTTTTATTTTTTATTTTTGTTTTTATGGCTTGCTAGCTGCTCTTCCAAATGGAAATACGCGGCAAAATGGAGATACTGGTGACAGGTCTAGTAAATCTTTAATTAATGATCTTAAGATACTATTGCATTAAAATATTTGGACATTGGTTTTGTAAGATTAAATAAACATTTTAAATCTTTGGTCTTGGAAAACTACTCAAATATTAAGTATTTTGTACTTGTAGGTCAAGCGGAGGCTCATCACCTTCAAGTGACTCGGATGAATGGGTCATTGTACCAAATGTGCATGCTGTCAATGGTACAAGTTCTCCCTCACGGTCTCCAGGGGGCTCCACTGCATCACTTCCTTCTGGACCTACTCGACCGCCCCCTACTATGCGACAGAAACCAGCAGCTTCACCATGTAGGAAAACTATAAGACATCAAAGATTAAATGGCTTACATATACATCACATGAGTGATTTCAATCTCCCTCATGTCTAATATACCATTATTCTTTTATATACTAGCTAAAGCACTGAATACTGACTTCAGTCAGTATTAAAGTCACTACGCTTTTGAAAACAAATACACCTTTGAAAATAGAAAGAACATTTTTGTTTCACAGACTTAAAGGTTCCCTACTCTTGTTCTTGTTCATTTCATAGCCTCTTCTAGCAGTTCTTCTCCTAGTGAACTCAGCGAAGGCCCAGCTTCCGATGGTTCCTCTCAGGCATCAGCTAGTGGGTGTTCAGATCAGCAGAATGAATCAAATGCAAGGGCGGCAACATCAAGTTCCTCACAGACAGCAAGTGTTCCTAAACAAGGGGCCAGTGCCTCAGCAACAATTCCCAGGGTGGCTCCCATAAACAATGGTCCCTTGCCCCCAGGGTAAAGAGCAATGCTTTCTGCATTTTGTTTTATAGGCCCCTCATTTAAGCTTATTTTCAATCTGTTTATTATAATTTGTATTTCTTCTGCAGGTGGGAGCAAAGAGTTGACCAGAATGGACGGGTATACTATGTGGATCACATTGAGAAAAGAACAACCTGGGATAGGCCTGAGCCTTTGCCTTCAGGGTGCCAAACATCTTGATTTTTTTTATACTACAGATATATTAATGTAGTTTGAATATTGTGTATTCAGTGGCATATAATTATCTATGTCACATTGTTTATAATCACTTTTACTATGTGGTTATGTGTTCTCTGTGGGAGTTTTTAATATCTAGAAAGAAATCCTTGGCAAAATAAACAACTTTTTTTTTTGCTCTCCTTTTATGCAGATGGGAGCGCAGAGTGGATCCAATGGGTAGAGTTTATTATGTTGACCACATAACCCGAACTACTACATGGCAAAGACCCACACAGGAGTCAGTGCGTAACTACGAGGAATGGCAGCACCAGCGTAGCCAGCTTCAGGGAGCCATGCAGCAATTTAACCAGAGATTCATATATGGGGTGAGAGCAGTCACTGAATGTGCTTCAGACTACACATGAAGAACAGTTTGAAGATGTATTTCTTTTGATTTGCTTAAAGAGCCCATCTACGCATGGTTTTTGATCTATAAAATCATTTGTATATGCTGTACTTTTACCACATCATACAAAAATTATACTGCTCAGTCCTTCTACGTCTTAAATTCAAATTTATAAATAAAAAAGATAACTTTAACTTTTAAGTACTAAACACCTGCAGTCTAATGAATAAGCACTTAAGGTTTCAGCTTTCCACTTCTACTGTGTAATTTGCATATTTCATGCTGAACAATATATTGCAATAATTGTGTCTTGGAAACATTTTGGAACATCTTTCTCTTTATATACAGTGCAGACTTTGAGGTCTGATGTAGCTCTCGAGTGTGAAAGGAGCTTAAGTAAGGTTGTATGAGTTTGTAAAGTCCAGATAACATGTTTTAAGTCTCGTGACTAAAAAGCTTTAAGCACCCGATGGAAATAAACATACAAATGCTCTTGGGTCAGTTTCTTCTCTGATTTTAAGTCTAAACTGTGTTTAAACAGACCGTGACAAAAATAGTTTTTACAGATGTTTTTGCAGACTTGACATTTGTAACGTTTTCTTTCTGGCTCAGCTGCAAGACCAGTTTGCAGCCACAGCCAGTAAAGAGTTTGACCCACTAGGACCTCTGCCTCAAGGATGGGGTAAGTATCAGTGAGATTACAAAAATGTTTTAGCTGATGTTACTGACATGATAAATAAATGAAATGTGTTGATTTTCTCCTTCACAAGAAAAGAGAACTGACACCAATGGTAGAGTGTATTTTGTCCATCACCCAACTCGCAGGACACAGTGGGAAGACCCAAGGACCCAAGGGTGAGTGTATTTTGTGTTCTTGACAGTAGGGAGCGCTGATATGTCTAGAATAAAGTGACAAGTGAAAGGAATGTCACTTTGTTTTTGGCAGGCCCAAATTTCTGAGTGACACATTTTAGGTCTGTATTTCAGCCATCAGTTTGATGTAGAAGGTTAATTCGTTCCATTGCAGGACTCCCTGAAAAACTGTCCTAACCTCTTAGGAGCTTGGAGTTTGGAACAGGTCAACAGTGGCACAGAAATTGCATGCAGATGATCTGGCAACTGTGAAACTGGATTAAATGTGTAGAACATAATGACTGGATTCTGACATCTTTGACAGATTTGGAATTGGATAGTTCCTTCAGAAAATCTTTGCTGTTGACCACTAACTGCTCTTAAATTTATGGTTTATGGATACACAAAGAGAAGGGTTTCTGTCTAAATGCTTTTTTTGTAACCAGCTAATCACAGTTAAGTAGTACGGAGGAAACCCTGCTTTTAAGGACGAGTTTTTAAATCTTTGATTCCATTTATTATTTTTTATTCATTTAACTTAAAATATACATTTTATGTTTCTTTTAAAATGATTTCTTTAAATGGTTGCATTTCTCTGTGCTTACTTAACTTTATCCAGGCTGCTGAATGACAAGCCTCTGCCTGAGGGTTGGGAGATGAGGTTCACTGTGGATGGTATTCCCTACTTTGTAGATCACAATAGGCGAACAACAACCTACATTGACCCTCGCACAGGGAAATCCTCACTGTAAGTTTTGGTATCTTGTGCTAACACGAGGGGGATCAGATTCATTTAATGGAGACAGACACAACTGCAC